GGAGGGACTTTAGAACATAGAATGGCCTCTCAGAGCTGGGAGGGAATTTAGAACGGCCTGTCAGAGCTAGAAGCCTTAGAACACAGAATGTCAGAACTGGGGCAATTCTGAAAACCTAGAACAGAGGCTGTCAGAGGTAGGGATGGGGGGGGAGGAGAAGACCCTAGAGGTGATGTAGGCCAGGGTCTGTGAAGGTAATTTGGCTTTTTGAATTTTGATCCCCTTTTCAATGTAAGTGGTTTCCTTTATAATCCACGGTCTTTCATTTTATCACACAAGAAGGGAGAAGAGCTTCGGGCCTGGGTGGACCCCTGGAGGCCAAGACCAGCCCGTGTCCAGTAGTTCCCAGGCCTGGTCTCCTATGGAGGGTTTGGCCCGGGGGAACCTTAGCTTCCAGCTCCCTCTTTCATCTTACAGATGAGGAAAGCCCAGGGGAAGGGATCTGCTGGAGGTCACACAGTGAGTGGGCAGGTCTCCTGACATCTCACTGCCCCCAAAGCTCTCCCTTCCCATCCTCAGCAGGATGGGAAGGGCGGGGACCTTTGGGGGAGCTGAAGGAGATTGGGCTGGCCTCCTTCACCCCACCCCTCACCTCCAAAGGAAGCTCACAACCTCCCAGGAGCAGGGCACCCCCACTCCTCCTTGGGCCAGGCCAGAGCTGGCAAGGCCCCTTGGGTTCAGTGGGGAGAGCACCCTGGGGGAGTTTTCCAGGTAAGATTACTTGGAGCCGGGGGTGGGTAGAATAGGAATCCCAGCTTTCTCAGCAGGGGTGACCCAAGCTGTCTGCAAGCCTGGAGGTTGGCCCTGTGAATGGCTCAGGCTCCCCTCCCCAGGCCTGGGCCTCAGCACCAGCCTGGGCTTCCCCTGGATGGGAGCTGCGAGGGGCCGCAGAGAGTAGAGGGCAGGCAGGACCACTGGCCGGCGTGGAGGCCAGCCCCTTTATTTCACAGATGAGGAAACTGAGGCCCAGAGAGGGTCAGGACTAAATTCTAAGGAGCTTAGGGGATGGTAGAGCTGGGAGGGCCTTGGAACAGGGGATGGCAGAGCTGGAAAAGACCTTAGAACGGGGGATGGCAGAGCTGGGAGGGGCCTTAGAATAAGGGATGGCAGAGCTGGGAGGGCCTTGGAACAGGGAACATCAAGGCTGAGATGAGACAGGGCTCAGAGCACAGCAGCTTTGGGCTAATAATACAACAATAATACTTTCAGCAATTCCTATCGCTCTCTAAAGTTCCTATCCTTCCGGCCTCATGGGTACAACAGGCACTAGTATACTTATTTTACAGATGAGGATACAGATGCTCAGAGGGGAAGTGACTTTTCCATGTTCACACATCTAGTCTTACCCCATAAATTTACAGGAGAGGAAACTGAGGTCCTGAGGAGGGACTTGGGCCTCGACCTGGGTCTCCCGCCTCCCAAGCCAGGGCTTTTTCCACTGCTGCCACTGGAGTGTGGAGGAAATAGCCCTGGCCTGGGAGTCCTTCCTGTTGGACACCCCTCCCCACCCCCCAGGAAGCCGGGGGATGGCCCAACCTGCCAGCACTGCTGCTCCCAGGGGTGACTGAGTTCCCATGGTCACTCTCTGAGCTCCTTGGAAGGAAGCCCGAGGAGCAGAGAACGGGGTGTGCTGTCCTCAGAGCATGGGGGACCTGCTTGCTTTCCCAGCCTGCTGGAGACCCTCAGAGCCCCTTCCCCCCCAGCCTGGGCCTGCCAAGTGAGGAGGGGGCAGCTACTTCTTCCGGGCTGCCCCCATCCTGGGCCCCCCCCCGAGGCTGCCCCCCTCCTAGGGCTCCCCCCTCCCAGGCTGCCCCCCTCCCCCTCACCCCCTCTCCTGGGGCTTCCCCCCTTCCTCCCTGGGGGAGCGGCTGCTGCTTCCTCTGCCGGATGGAGATAGTCCTCGGCCCCTGGCCGGCCTTCCGCCCTGAGCCCCCCCAAGCCTCCTGCCTTCCTCCCTCCCAGCTGCCCCTCCCCTTCTCCTTTCCCTCTGACCCTAGCCCACTGTCTCCTCCTCCCCTTTTCTTCTCCCTTCCCTTCTCCTCTGTGCTCCCCCCCACCCCCTTCCCCTCCTGGCCAGCCCCTCCCCAGCAGGTACCGCTGGCTCCCCTCTCCTTTCCCCAGAGTGTGGATACCACTTGGGGCGCGGGGAGATCCAGAGGAGGCTCTCACCACTGCGTTTCGCCATTTGTTTCCTAGAATTGGGGGGTCCTGGGGGTTTAGTTTCCCCTTATTTCTAGAGCCCCCAACCCTTCCAGGTTTTGGTGTGGTAGAAAAAAGCCTGGTGGGGTGGGTAGGGGGCCAGTGGCCCAGCTCTGCCATCCCCTGTTCTTTTTTTTTTTTTTTTTTGGCTAGGCAGTGGGGTTAAGTGACTTGCCCAGGGTCACACAGGTAGCAAGTGTTATGTGTCTGAGGCCGGATTTGAACTCAGGTCCTCCTGACTTCAGGGCCGGTGCTCTATCCACTGCGCCACCTGGCTGCCCCCATCCCCTGTTCTAAGCACCTTCCCAGCTCTGCCATCCTCTGTTCTAAGGCCCCTCCCAGCTCTGCCATCTTCTGTTCCAAGGCCCTTTCAGCTCTCCCATCCACTGTTCTAAGGGCCCTCTTAGCTCTGCCTTCCCCTGTTCTAAGGCCCTCCCCAACCCTGTGAGCTGGCTGCAGGGAAAGGCCTGCTTGTCTGCATTGGGCCCTGCCCTGCTGGCTGGGGCCTGGTTGGGGTGGGGGAGTGTGGTTAACAGGAATCTTTTCCCCTCAGACTTCTGCCCTCCCCCAGCTGCTGGGGCTTATAAGAAGGGGAACAGAGAAGCCTGTCTCCTTCCCCCCACCCCAAGTCTGGAAATGGGTGGGGGGTGAGGGAGCAGATGGGAACAGAGTTTAATTCCAGATTCTGGAGGGGAAAGGAGGAAGGTCAGATGAGGACAAAGATGGGCTCCAGCCACAGACCCTGGGGCCCAGCTCCCTCCCTCCCTCCCTCCCACTAAGTCCTGAGATCCCAGGGGCCCTGAGTGCCCATCCCAATGTTCCAGAGTGAGGCCCAGAGGCTATGACTTGCCCAAGGTCACACAGATTGTAAGGGGCAGGGCCAGGACCAGAAACCAGGTCACCTGACTCCTGAGTCCAGACTTCTTTCCAGGGAAGGGAGTGGGTATCATTGGTGTGGGGAGCACACTGGATGGAGTCAGGAAGACCTGTCTGACCTCAGTCACTGACCCTGGGCAAGTCACTTAGCCTTCTTCCTCAGTTTCCTCATCTGTAAAATGGGGGTGATCATTGCACCTCCTTCCCGGGGCAGTTTGGAGGATTACAAACCTGAAACATCTGTATAAATGGCAGCTGCAGTCACCATCCTCCTCCTCTTCCTCCTCCCTTTCCCCTCCCCCACTCTAATGAGAGGCTAGAGGGCTGGAGGCCAGAGACCTAGGTTCAAGTCCCTCTTCTGACCCTTGACCCTTACCAGCCGTGTGGTATGCACCCCCCAGGCAGCAGCAAGGCCTGAGTTAGGGCCCCCTGCAGCCTTCCTCACACCCCGATGCAGTCACCAACAGGTCCCTCCCTGAGGGGGCAGTAGACCCTCCCACCTCGGTTTCCCTCCAGTGTCCCACACTGTGGCCAGAGCTGAATTTGGACTTTGAATCCCTACTGCCCTTGACTCTCGGTGGGGTCTTATCCAAGTTACTTCCCCTTGCTAGACCTCAGTTTCCCCATCTGTAAAATTTAGATCATCATCTCCGTCCCTCTCAACCTCTAAAAATGTTTCTCAGGCAATGAAATGCAGTAATGGAGACTGGAAGACCTGAGTTCAAACTTGGCCTCAGACACTTACTAGCTATGTGACCCTGGGCAAGTCACTTAACTGCTCGCCTCAGTTTCTCTCCTCTGTAAAATAGGAGGGAGGGGGAGACTGATCTCAGAAGCCCCTTCCAACTCCTTAGCTACGCTCTTGTGAGGTCGCTGGACCCTGGGCTGGCTGCTTGCCTTCTTTGGCCTCAGTTTCCCTCAGGGGATTAGACTCAGTGGTCCATTAGCTCATACTCTGGAGGCCAGTCGGATCTTTTGGCTTTCTCTGTATGGCCTGGCATAGCATAATGGGCACTTAATAAATGCTGATTGACCCGGTCTCTGGAGTGCTGGGTAAGCTAACCACTAATGGCGGTCTGGGCTTGAGGAGGCTGCCGCCCCCAGACTGTCAGATGTCACCCCTTCCCCTCACTGCCCTCCATCCGATGGGGCCGAATCTTATTGATTCTCTCTCTTATGAGACCCCTCCTCAGCCCCTGTGGCCTGGGAGGTGTCTCCCAGTCTGCCTCTAGCCTGTCCCTTCTAAGCTATCCTCCATAGGGATTTTCCTAGAATGCCGGCCACTCCCCTGCTCTAGAAGCTTCTGTGGCTCCCAGCTGCTAGGATGAAATACAGAGTCCTTCCGCGGGCATCTAAACCCTTCCCAGCCTGACTCTAGAGCCTGCCCAGGCTGTCCTCCCAGGACCTTTCACCAGCCTGCACAAAGCAGCTGGTATCTGGCTCTGTGAGAAACCTGGTCCTGGGACCCCCAAGTTACTCACCACATCTCCCCTTGTCTCAGGGGTCAAGTGCTGGGGATGCTGAGGTCAGAGAAGCAGGCTTGTAGCGGTGTGCCTGGTAGCAAGCGCTGACCCCAAGGCTCAGCTGTCCCACTACTCACTGGGTAACCGGGGTGGGTCACTGAGCTTTGCTGGGTCTCAGTTTCTGCATCTTTAAAATGGGAATCATTTGCCTAGATGGCCTCTAAGCAGCCTTCTAGCTGTGGACCTGTAGTGTGACGGCTCCCTCTGACATTCTGGGACCCAGGCATGTGGCTCCAGGGCCAGCCCCTGGCACGTGAGTGCGTGGGGCCAGACAGGCTGCCCATTGTGTGCCAGGGTCAAGGGAGCCCCAGAGCCCCTGGCGTGGGTGGCACCCGCAGAGCTCCTCCCTTCCTGGGAAATGCCACCCCAGCCCACTCCAGGACTCCGTTTGTCTGTCCCCAGCTTGAAGTCACACTGGACCTGGCCGAACGGCGCCGCATCCGCTCGGCCATCCGTGAGTTACAGCGGCAGGAGCTCGAGCGGGACGAGGGGGCCTTGGCATCCAAGCGCTTCCGGGCAGAGCGGCTGGAGAACAAGGAAAACTGGCTGCAGTGAGTACCCGGCCCTCGGCCCCTGCTCGGGCCTCAGCCTCCCCATCTGTAGAGTGGGGTTGTTCAGCAGTCAAAGGATCCAAGACCCTGAGCAGGAAGGAACCTTAGAGTGCCCCCACAGATGGAGAAACTGAGGCCCAGAGAGGTCACCTGACTCGCCTCGTGTCACTCAATGTCTGAGGCAGGACTTAAACCCAGGACTTTCTCCCTCTGAGGTCGATAACTCTCTCTGCCATATCGTGCTGCCCTCCACGAGCTGCCCAGTGATGGAATGACTCCCCAAAGTCACCTTCCCTCCCTCCCTCCCTTCCTTCCTTCCTTTTCTTCTTCCTTTTTTCCTTCCTTCTTTCCTTCCCTCCTTTCTTCCTTCCTCCCTCCCTCCCTACCTTCCTTCCCCCTTCTTTCCTTCCCTCCCTCCCTTCTTTCCTCTTCTCCTCCCTCCCTCCCTCCCTTCCTTCCTTCCTTCCTTCCTTCTTTCCTTCCTGTTCTTCTTCCCTTTTTCCTTCCTTCTTTCCTTCCCTTCCTCCCTTCTTTCCTCTTCTCCTCCCTCCCTCCCTCCCTTCCTTCCCGTCCCCCCCAATATAAACGTGGAGCTGGCCCCCCTGCCCCCACTGGGCTGTGAGCTCCCTGAGAGCAGTGTGTGGTCGGGGCTTTCTCTGTATGCTGGCACACAGTCAGTGCCTAATAATTGCTTCTTGCTTGTTGTGCGCACAGCTCCCAGCAGCGGGAGGAGGAGCAGCGGCAGGGGGCCCTGGCCCTGCTGTCGGGCAAGCTCGAGGCCATCAGCGACGTGGAGGAACTGACCGCCCTGGTGAGGGCCCAGGCCCGGGCCTGGGGGGGGGGGGGGGGGGGCGGGAGGGACCCGGCGGGACCCCCTTCATCCATCTGGCCCCCCTCGTTGCAGCTGCGGGCGGCCGCTGAGTACGAGGAGCGCAAGCTGATCCGAGCTGCCATCCGCCGAGTGCGTGCCCAGGAGATCGAGGGTACGGCCCCTTCCCGCCCCCTGCTTCCAGCCCTCCCGCCGCTGCCCCTATCCCTGACTGCTCCCTTCTCTCCTTGCAGCGGCCACCTTGGCAGGAAGGCTGTCCGGTGCCCACGAGGACAGCGAGGGGCGGGCGGCCAGGAGGCGGGCACGCCAGGAGGTGAGCAGGACCCATGAACCACAGTCCCCACGAACCTCAGTCCCCAGGAAGAGGCATTCCTGGGGCAAGGGGGGGCATCTGGGGGGACAGAAGGCTTCTTCCCAATCAGATCCCCCTGAGTCTTTCACTCCAAAGGCAGATGGGCCCGGCCCTGGAAGTAGTGAGTTCCCCATCACTGGAGTGAGTCAAGTTGACTCTAGATAACTGTTTGCTGGGCGTGTTTAAGAGGAGTCCTACTCAGATACAGAGAGGTTGAGAGGGCCCCAAGGCCCCGCCCGTTCTCTGATCATCTTTTCTCTGTATCTCAGCAGGGAAACCTTTTCTCACCCAAACACTTACGCAGGGCGTGCAGAAAGAGGGGGAGCTTGTCTGGCCCGCACGTTCACCTGTTGGGTGTCGCCGGGCTTTCCTTGCAAGCGGGGTCTACGGTCACTAGGGAGCAGAGGTTTCAGAGCTAAGCCTCCAGGGCAGGCCAGGCTCCAGGGGAGTGGGGAGGGAGACTGTCCCAGAAGCATGGGCCCACAGTTGCCAGGGTGGAGTTGGGCAGGTGTGGTCAGCCCCATGCACACCTGCCTTCTGTTTGCTCTCCCAGAGAGCGGGTGAAAGGTTATGGTGTATTATGGCGGAGGCGGCCGCTGCCTGCTGTGAGTGCTCAGTGGGTCCGGGGCCCAGGTTCCCTTTCTGCGCCTCAGTTTCTTCATTTGTAATTTGAGAGGGTCAGAAGAGATGACTTTCCAAGTTCCCCCAGCTCTGACATTTTTATAGTACAGAATATCAAAGCTAGAGGCCTTGAGTCAAACCTGACCAGTGTACGGTCCCCTGAAGGCCCCCCAGAGCAGCCCATCCTAGTTTGGCACAGCTGGAAGGCAGTACTGCCTACATGTGTGACCTTGGGCAGTTCACGGCGTGTCCTGGGCCTCAGTTTCCTCAAATGTAAAATGAGGCCACTGGCCTGGCCAAACCTTCAGCTCTTCTACCCCTTGGCTGCAGTCTCGTTACCTGCCGGGGCTCCCTCCACGTTCCCGAGCCTCAGTTTCCTCAACAGTCCAACAAGGGCTTTGGACTGGGGGCTCTCAGCATGCCAGCCGAGGAGCCTGGGACACTTCTTCCTGCTCTCGAGGCTAAGTTAGATTCATTTAGATTAAATTAAATTAAATCCACCCTCACTATCCCTCCCTTTGGGGCCAAGTAGGACTCCTGGAAGGCCCCCTACCCTGCATCTTTTAGTTAGCCTTTGTCCGGCACAGCCCAGAGGCTCTTCCAGCTGCGGCATTTTGTGTCCCAAGGGCCTGGGACCCTTGGTCGGGAGTCGGCAAGAAGGTGTGGAGGGAGCTGGTGTGGGCCAAGGGGATGGGATCCCCCGGAGAAAAGCCACAGGGAGGTGCCGTGCCAAGGGCCACCACTAGGGGCTGCTGTCCCACCAAGGTCCGGGACCCTTGGCTTCTGCTCCTGTCTGGGTGGAGGCCTGGGCTCACAGGTAGTGAGGCTGCCCCCTCCTGCCCCCAGCCCTGTCCCACCCCACCCTACCCCCATCAGCACAGATCTTTGGTCAGGGATGGGCTGGTTTCTTCCCCTGGCTCTGCCCCTAACTCGCTTCCTGAAAGCCTTTTATCTTGCCTCAGTTTCCCTATGTGTAAAATGAGGTTGGACTAGGTGATCTATACCTAAGGGTCCTTCCGTCTTCTCTCCCCATTCCCTGGTGTCTGGACCTCTCTGTGTGCCTGTGAGTGTGGAGTCCATGGGACTGAGTTTGAATCTAGCTTTGCTATGGGCTTCTTGACCCAGTCCTTTCCCCTCTCTGGGCCTCCACTTTGAAAGTTGAGGACCAGAGAGGACTTCAGAGGAGGAAACAGGCTTAGGAAGGCAAAGTGGTAGGCCCAGGGTCAGCTAGAGTAATGGGCATCTTGGACCCCAGAACCAGTGACCTTTCCTGTAAAATGGGCTTGGGGGAAGTTCAGATCTAAATCTGTGACCCTGTGTGTGTGCGTGTGTGTGCGTGTGTGTGCGTGTGTGTGCATGTGTATGCACATGCCCACCTCTATAGTCCGTGTTTCAGCCAGCCTTCTTGTCAGCATCCATGTATACGTGTATGTATACTATGCATGTGTGTTTGAGTGCTCATGTATTATACACGTGTGTGTGCGTGTGTGTATAGACGTGTGCATGTGTATGCACATGCCCACCTCTATAGTCCATGTTTCAGCCAGCCTTCTTGTCAGCATCCATGTATACGTGTATGTATACTATGCATGTGTGTTTGAGCACTCATGTATTATACGTGTTTGTGTGTGGACATGAGAGTAGCCCTGTGTGTCACTGGCAGGGTGAAGGGCAGCTGTGTTCCAGCCCTATCAGGACCAGCTACCTGGGCCCCGCCCTGGCTCTCCTTCACAGCTACTTTGCATGACCTAAGACATCTAGCACCGCCCTGTCCGCCCTGAGAATAGAGTTGGGTGCCCCAGGCTGAGGGTCTGGGTCTGCCTTCTGACTCTGTCTTGTCTCTGTCTGTCTCTCTCATTCTCTGTCTCTTTTTCTCTCTGTGTCTCTATCTCTTTCTCTGTCCTTTTCTGTGTTACCTCTGTCTATCTCTCTTTCTCTCTGTCCTTCTGTCTCTGTCTCTCTCTGTCTCCATCCCGTCTCTATCTGGCTCTCTCTGTTTCTGTCTCTATTCTGTCTTTCTCTGTCTGTGTCTCTTTCTGTCCTGTCTCTGTCTCTCTCCATCTGTCTCTGTCTTTCTTTCTATCTCTGTCTCTTTCTGTCCTGTCTCTCTGTCCTTGTCTCTCTCTGCCTCTCTCCTTCTGTCTCTGTCTGTTTTTGTCCTGTCTCTGTCTGTCTGTCTCTGTCTCTCTCTGTCTCTGTCTCTTTCTGTCCTGTCTCTGTCCCTCTCCTTCTCTCTCTG